GATTGTAATTTGGTTGGTTCGGTCATGCTTTTTAAAAAAAAAATTTTAACTTTCAATCATAGGAAATAAATGAAAAAAGGCAGTTTTCATTAATAAAAACTTAAATAGGTGCCATCAATTTCTAATTTCACTTATTATTTATAGTCATTGTTTTTAAATCTGAAATTTTAAATTTATAAAGTACACTATAATAACAACTTCAATGAAGAAAGGATAAATCCAAACCAAAAATATATAGAATTATTTTAATTTTGATTAAAAACCAAAACACCATTCAGTTTTACGTTTTTAAACCAAACCAAACTAAAACCAAAACTTAATAAAATTGGTAAATAAATAGTTTTTCGATTACACCATAACCAAACCAAATCATTTATTTTCGGTTTAGTGTGGTTTATTTTTTTTCTTCACCTCTAACCATTTTCTTAGAGTACATTCGAAATGAGTAGATACTATAATAACGACAAATACAATAGATAATCGGAAGCCTGTAGGCTCAAGGCTGTACAATAGACTCTACATTAAACTCTTTTTTAATTTAGAGTTCTTTAGACTCAACAGTTTGCAGACTATGGAATGCTTTTCTCAATTTACAAGTATTGGAGATACATGGGTATTGGAGATCAGATCTCATACAATTATTTTTGAGGCATTAGAAAAATGAAATGAAAGGGAAAGAACTTGTGTAAGAAGTAACGATTGCCTCTCCGGTATTCGGCATCTGATGTCGGTGCCGTGAGAGGATCTCTCCCTTCTTAGCTCTTCAAGGCAACTGTGGTGAGCGAAGCAAACCACAAATTTCAGCTTTTCTCTCCGGCGACGCTGTGTTGTGGATAATTTCTTCGACGAGACGAACAGTACCTTGAACCCAAATGATTCGAAGTAGGTGTGCTTATTCCAAAGATCCAGGCCGCTTGAGGACTGCGGTGGGACGACGGTGAGCCGCCGAAGGAGAGAAGTTGTGGTTGAGCCCAACTGATCGACAAAAGTGCTCTATTTTCTAGATCCGGGCTGCTTGAGGACTACGGTGGGTGAAAGGTTGGAGCCGCCATAAGTTCGAGGTTGTGGTTGGAGTTTTTTGTTTTCGACGGAGGTGTTCTTACTCCGAGATCGGGCTGCTTGAGATCTGCGATGGGAGCAGGGGCGGACCCACATGGAGGAGAGTGGGGTCCCAGGCCCTCTACTGATTTGAGAAAAAAGTTTTTTTTAAAAGGGGTTAGAGAATATTCTCATGAAAAAAAAGGAAAAAAAGGAAAAAAAAAAGATTTGGTAGATGTGGAGCCCACAGGATTTGGAATCAAAAATTTTTGATTCTTTCTAGAATCCCACATCGAAAAAAAAATAAAAAGTGAGAGAATTTGGATACTATAAATAATAAGATAACCACACTAATATGTACTTATAAAAATTGTCATCTGCACCAGATTTATATAGACTGGGCTAACCAAAAAATACTATTGGTAATTATTTTTGGGTTACAATAATTTTTTCTTTTTTAACCAAAAAATAATATTATTATTATTAGTAAGTTAATTTACATCATTTATACAAAATAAATGATGTAATATACTATTTTTTAGTGAGTTAACTAATATGCTAAAATAATTTCTGTTTTTTTTTTCAGATAGGCAATGGAAAGATATTTCAAAAAAATATTTCCTGAATGTGATTCAGAGAATTTGTCTGGTGATTTGGAGAAAAGATCTTTTAAAAGAAAAGTTCTTGAAAATGATTCGGAGAATGTATCTGATGATTTGGAGAAAAGATCTTTTAAAAGAAAGGGTCCTGAAGATGATTCGAAAAATTTGTCTGGTGATTTGGAGAATTTTCCTTCTGATCCTGCAGATAGGAAAAGAATATTGGAATATCATGCAAATGAAAGAGACGAAGTAAGACGCAAATATCTGATGAAAGGTCCTTGTCAACCTCGTGGTCATAAATTTCCTCCTAAGATGATCGGAAATAAATTAAGACGATTTAATTCATCTTGGTTTGATCAGTATGGTGATTGGTTGGAATATAATGTGAAAAAAGACAAAGCATTTTGTTTGCTCTGCTACTTGTTTAGAGATTTCACTGAAAATAAAGCTGGAAGTGATGCATTTTTGACAAAAGGGTTTGATAGTTGGAACAAGACAGAGAGATTGCATAATCATGTAGGGGCGGTGAATAGTTTTCACAATAGTGCATTGAAAAGAGCTGATAATCTGATGAAGAAAGGACAATCAATTTGTCATGCTTTTTATAAGCAAGAAGATGCAGCAAAAAATGAATACAAGATCCGATTGAATGCTTCAATTGATACTTCTAGATATTTGCTACGACAAGGATTACCGTTTCGAGGTCACGATGAGTCAGTGGATTCAACTAACAAAGGAAATTTTTTGGAGCTTGTGAAATACACTGCTGAACAGAATGAGCTTGTAGTAAGGTTGTGTTGGAGAATGCTCCCAAAAATAATCAGATGGTGTCTCACGAAATTCAGACAGAGATAGTTCATTACTTTGCAGAGGAAATCATTGAGTCAGTTATTCAAGAAATTGATCATGGTGTATTTTGTTTGTTGGTGGATGAATCTGCAGATGTTTCTGATAAAGAGCAAATGGCAGTGGTCTTTCGCTTTGTTGATAAACATGGGATAGTTAAAGAGAGTTTTATTGGTCTTGTTCATGTGAAAGAAACATCATCTTTATCTCTCAAAATGTGCTATTGATTCATTGTTTGTTAAACATGGATTGAGTATGAACATGTTAAGAGGGCAGGGATACGAAGCGAGTAATATGAAGGGTGAATTCAAAGGGTTGAGAGCTTTAATTTTGAAAGAAAATAAGTCTGCTTATTATGTTCACTGCTTTGCTCACCAGCTTCAATTGGTTGTTATTGCAATAGCTAAAAAAAAATTAGAAGTTGGGAACTTCTTTGACATGATTGCTGTCTTGTTAAATGTTGTTGGAGCTTCTTGCAAGAGAAAAGATATGGTTCGAGAAGACCATCGGAAAAGGATTGAGGAAAAAACCAAAAAAACTGAAATTAAGACAGGAAAAGGGTTGAATCAGGAGCTTTCATTCCAAAGACCCGGTAAAACTCGTTGGGGATCTCACTATAAAACATTATTGCGTTTGGTTGATCTATTTCCTTCTGTCATTCAAGTGTTGGAGTACGTCGAAAGCGATGGGAGTGATAGTACTAAAAGATGCCAAGCTAATGGTCTTCTCAAATACTTTCACACTTTCGATTTTGTGTTCTATTTACAGTTGATGTTGCTTCTTCTTGGACTCACAAATACTTTATCAAAGGCTCTACAAAGGAAAGATCTGGATATTCTGAATGCTATGTCACTAGTAAAATCCACCAAGCAACAATTGTACAAGCTCAGAAATAATGGATGGGAATCTTTTATCAACAAAGTTTATTCTTTTTGTGAGAATTATAAGACAGAGTTGTTGGTTATGGAAGACGAATTCATTGATTCAAGAAAACCAAGAACGAAAAGCAACAAAACCATCATGCATCATTACAAAGTGGAGTGCTTTTACATTGTATTGGATATGCAAATTCAAGAGTTTAATGATCATTTTGATGAGGTAAATACTGAATTACTTGGTTGCATTGAATCTTTGAGTCCTAAAGATTCATTTCATGAGTTTGATCAGTTGAAAATTATGAGACTGTCTGAGTTTTATCCAGAAGCTTTTAGTTATGTTAAGCGGGTATCTCTTGAGCATCAACTTCGTATATACATCGACAATATCCGAGAAGATAAAAGATTTTCAAATTTGAAGAATCTTGGAGATCTTGCACGGGTTATGGTGGAGACAAAGAAACATCTTTCGCATCCTTTGGTTTACCGACTTTTGAAGCTAGTTTTGACTCTACCTGTAGCTACCGCTATAGTTGAAAGATGTTTTTCTGAGATTGTGAAGACTGTCTTACGGAACCGAATGAGTGATCAGTTTTTAAATGATTGTGTCGTTTGTTTTGTTGAGAAAGAATTGCTTGAAAAAGTGACAAATGAAGTAGTGATGAAAAAATTTCAAAATATGAAGCCTCGTAAGATAATTTTGTAGGTTTTTTTTTATTTAAAATATTTTATATAAATTATTTTTGTTATGTAAAATATTATGCCTCCGACTAAAAAAATTTCTAGCTTCGCCACTGGGTGGGAGATTGGTAGTGAGCCGCCGATGGAGAGAGGATGTGGCTCCGCGATATTGTTCAGGAAAGAAACCGTCGAAGGGGTTTTGGTGGGTGTGTGTCGCTTGTCGAGAAAGTCCCGCGGAGGTTCTGGAGGACCATGCGGATCTGGTGTCTGGCAGGGATAACGGGAGTGATTTCCATGTTCAGTCTGACCCGATTAGTTAATTTTCTTGGTCGGATTGAGGATCGGGCTTTGAGGAGAAGCTGTTGGAGACGGTCGGCTAGGCTTTGTGGCATCGTTTTTCTTTCCGGTGCTCAATCATGTTTGGTCTGGTTTTCTCTCAGTTTCTGGTTTGGTATTTTGTTTCTAGTTTAATTCATTCGTAAACCCGGTTATTCCTGGTTTGTGTTGATTAATTAATATAAATATTATTTTTTTTAAAAAAAATATATATATATAATTCCAATCTCCCAAAAAAAAAATAACGATTGGCGTAAATAGTGGTATTGGAGATACATGGGTATTGGAGATCAGATCTCATACAATTATTTTTGAGGCATTAGAAAAATGAAATGAAAGGGAAAGAAATTGTGTAAGAAGTAACGATTGGCGTAAACAGTGAAAGCAAATGACATCAAATATCTTCTAAACTCTGAACAAGTGATCTAACAGAAAGCTGAGTATCTAACAGAAAGCTGAGTATCTTTCAGGACCTACTGTTAATATTCATAAACAGGTCATGATTTGTTGTTTGAGTAAAATATTGGCAATTGGCGTGTCAGAAAGCAGCTAGATTTGAACCCAAAAAAAAAAAACAGCAGCTAGATAAGATGGCATGAAGAGTTATTAATATTGGGAAAATCTCATGAGTTGTATTTCCGAAAATTGGAGTTTTGAAGGAGGCATAGTAACTATGTTGATGATACTGGCAATATTTTTTAATACAAGAATTCTCATGCACATTTATGTAATCGTCCAAAACAGATTTTGGTAAGCATATGAAAATCAAATAAGCAAAAAAAAAACGAAATATATATGGAGTGAGTGAAAATTAGGAGGAACAAGACAATACAACATCGACTGACATGTAACTCCGCTGGCTCACATTCTAACATGGATCCTTTGACCCGACCAGAATGGGTAGACTCGCAATCTCTATCTTTCTCGTGTCTACAAACTCCTGTAATCAATTACAGTCACCTCTTCCTCTGGAGCATCAAGGTCTTGGTAGCTGCACCATTTTCTCACAAAATTAGTTTCTTAGAGACACTGCATACTTGCTCATATGGTTGCTGACTCTAGACTGCACCACGTTTGATGAAAAGATGGAAGCCATGTGTGATATATACTCAAAGCATAGAGTGAAGTACGTTACCTGCGTAGCCGTCTAGGATCCTGTCTAAAGGCCGGAGACATAAGAAAAGGGGCTGCTCCACCTCTGCCGCTACCTTCAAAAGAAGGGTTGGGTCCACTCGGGTCCCTAAACATCTGCATCGCAAACTCAGGCGGTGCTGGTACAAATGGTCCTAGTGGCCTGCCCACATCATTATTCAGACAGCATTACAGATCATCTACAAAACAGAGGAATTATTTGTTTTACTCTTAATGATCAGAACACGCGAGAGCCTACCCGGCACCAGGAACAGGCATCAGCACTGGTGGTGGGTTTATGTCCGACGAGTAGGGAGGAACATGAACACCGGCTTGTCCACCAAATGCTTCGTAACCACCTTCCTGGTTTGCACCATTAGGACCATCACCATCCCCTCTCTGTTGATCCTCTGACCGGTCAACTCTGTCATTTCCATTGGCCCGTCCATCACGCTCTCTGCGTCCACCTCGATCATCCCTTAATCTGTTTTCCATGCCTGGTTTACGTCTCATCATAGGTCTATCTCTCTGTCATAAGAATATTTCACCCGAATAAATACAACTACAAACAAAGCTAGACAAGGGAACACCCAAAAGCACCAGTTCCATTCCACAAAGAAAAAAATATCACGTACCGGGCCAGATTGCTGCGTGGCTGGTTGTCCTCCGGGAGCATTAGGATCACTGCAAATGGCACATAATTTTTTTCATTACGAGTCGGTAAGAAATGACAGAAGAAGAATGATTCCAAGAGAAAAACCCAACATACCTCGTATAGTTCTGAAAATACAGTTCTTCCCGCACTTTGCCAGTCAAATCCACGACAAGCTCAGTGTGTTTCAGCTTGAGATGCTTGTACACAAACTCAGCAGCATGAAACAGTTTCGTACAGCCTTTAGCTCCACAACCATATTTCCAACCATACTTTTCATCCCTAATCTTTCGGACATGAGGATCTAAAACTTCAAGAGCAGCAGCATCTATCTTCTCTTTGGCAGCCATCACTTCAAGGGGATCTTGACCTTTCAACCTCTCTTGCCAATGAGAATCAAATTTACTTTCGCTCTCATCTCCTTCTGCATCAGAGCCTTTTCCCTCAGCTCTCACATGCCGCAGACCCTTAGACTCATTTGTTTCAACTTTTCCGTAATAGTCCACACCATGAACACGCCAGAGGTACGTGATAAGTGTGTCAAGCAATTCAACACCCTCTAGGCCTTTTACAGATGTCAAGCCTCTTATGATTATAACTGGACCAGTGGAACCAGTGGGTAACTTATCTCTACCCGACTTTTCAGATTCTGAACCAGATAAAACGTTTTCCACAATCCCTTTCTCAGTGTCTAGCTTACGCACAAGGGCTTGTGCTTGATCAATGTCAGTTAGGATTCTCTTTGGATCAGAAGTGAAACTGGGTGCTTTCGGCGCCGCTGAATGCTCAATCTCTTTAGCTCCACCCTTACCAGGTCTTTTTCTTTTACCACCATTAGCTGCTTCATCCTCGGAATTTGGCTCACTAGTCCGGCCTGATTTATTCAATGATGTCACTGCAGGACCTCTGGAACAACATATGGAGCGGAAACTGTGAGCTTTAGAGATAACAGAATGGTGATTATCATACATATGTGGAGTAAAGGCCAAGGAAATTATCTTACAAATCTAGTGTTCCACTCTGTAAATCAAGTAAAAAATCTTTCGCCACCTTCCGTGCTAGTTCATTCCTCCTGAAAGTTTCAAAGAAGAATATATACAGTCAACATTTTGATTTTTTTTATAAATGAAAGATAGAAAACTAAAACCAACAGTGTAATACAAAGACTACAAAAGATCAGTGTTTAGTATTACTATTAAACCAATTAAGCACAAACACAGGGTCCAACTGCTGCAAATGGCTCTTGAACTCACCTTTCTATGACAGAGAGTAGGTTTGTTGGATGATACTTATCTTTCAACCTGGTTCGGTAACATAGATAAGCATGTCAGTAGCTTGCAGAATTTCCCAGAAGAATGTAAACAATGGAAAGATAGTGGAAGTCACCATTCTTCCTCTTTGTGAGTGTTAAAAAAGACACGTTTCTGTGTTGTGATATACTCTGACTTATACTCTTGATATCTGCATTACGAAAAAGGCATTACCCCAGCAGCTTTACGAGACAAATGATTAAGCAGCAAGACTAAGTTGCAGTGATAACCATACCTGCGTTCAGCTTCTGATGGCAGTATATCATCTTCCAACTCCTGGATAAACTGTTTGTATGACATCAATCCATCCCTGCATATAGCAAATACAACGATATTTATAGTTAGATGAAACAGCAAGGGCGTCTACAACATCCCTTGTTTGAATAATGATAATCTGATCAACTGTGTCTCAAACATTCACTATTAACTTTCCGGATCTATAAGGAAAGAAAACATATATGCCTCATCGAAGAAAGAAGATTCTACAAGGGATAAAAACAACAAACCCAAGAATACAAAGATGATGAAACTCTAACCTTTGAGTACTTCCACTGTTGGAAGCATCACCATAGCCTCCACGACCTCCCTCCCAGTCTGCCATGAGAAATACACAAAAACAAAAAGGGCAGATATTGGTATATCGAATGTTTGTTCACAAAAAGAATGTTGAATTAAGTGCTCAAACTGTTTCCAATCTACAGTTTAAAGAAAAAACAATTTATAAGGCCGTCTAACGAGGGATAAGTGCTCAAACTAGTCAAATGAACGAGGAAGTCCCAATTTATAAATACACGATGCAAAATTGCTACCAAGAGATGTCTCACCCTGATAGCGACCCATAAATCGGCCATGAGGCCTATCATCACCATAACCAGGCCTCCCACCCATTTCACGATCATATCCTCCACCATAGTCATATCCAAACCTATCAGTCGAAAAGAACAATGATGAACCGATTAGAAAAGCCCGAAGATAATGGTTTGATCTTGTTCATTGTTACGAGAGGACAATCAGAAGTTTGAGAGACATTGTTTGATCTTCTACAGTGAAGCACTTGTTTATCCACAGCTAAGCAACAATGCAACTGACATGCTGTTTACGCAATTCTTATTCTTCAAACACCAAATGACAATGAATCTTAGTTCAATCGATAACTTTGATGTAATTCGAATCAAGTTTGAGGGTTTAGAGAGTTATGAGTGATGTAATTTCATTCACAAGCTTGACGTTTCAATTCTCATTCTTACGATACTGAAGCAGAAGAAAGAAGATCCAAGCATAGCAGATGAAGAAGATTACCTTCTATCGGGTGGGCCATAGCCACCACGGGGACAGCCACGTCGACCATCAAAGCCATTATCGTCCCTCCTATAACGCTTGTGCGGAGGCGAGCGACGCATGGGAGGAGAGTGCCGCCTATCTCTATACGGTGGTGGAGGGCTCCCGCTAGGCCGCCTCTTGTAATCCCTGCGGGGCGGCGGGAGCGGCGAACGGTCACGCTCACGGCGATTGGGCGGACGTTCGAGGTCTCTTTCGTCACGCCGCTCGCGGGAATCTCTCTCACGGCGGTTAGGAGGCTGTTGCTCTTGCTGTTCCTGCGCCGGTTCCTGTTGCGGAAGAGAGGAAGGAGGAGGTGGTGAGGAAGATGTGGTCTTCTCCGGAACGGAATCGGCCGGAGGCAGAGTCACATCGGCCATTTGGAGAAGAAGATCGGAACCCTAAATCGGGGAATCTCGCTATAGGAGGAACTCCAAAAGCCTCTTTTCTTTGCCTTTACGGATACACAGTGAACCTATTTCAACTTGGCCTTAACTCAGAAGAAGCCCATCTCCGTCACCGTGAAAAAGTTATAGGTTTTATTAGTGGCATCTATTTTTTTTTCCAACACTTACCATATTGGTCCTGGTGAAGTAAAACACAAAGTGAAAATTAATAAGGCATTCCTGCACCAATATTTTTAGTGAGGATGGAAATTTTTGATTACACATTGATGATACCAAAACGGTCTTGTTCGAAGTTTGACCAAAAAGAATTTTTGCACAATAATCATTGAAGACGGGCTTCAAACATTTTTGGTGATAAGATGATAATAAATCTCTGTGTTATTTTGCTTTGTCAAATTCGTCTTGGATAATTTAGTTTCGAAGAGTTCACTTTAAAACCAGTTGAACAAACCTAAACTGCATAGCATATAACTCACACCGTAGAAACAACCATAGACTTCAGCTAACTGAGCTACTAACAACCAAACGGTAAAATAAGAGAGACAAAAATTCTTTTTTTGTATCAAATATAAATTATGTTCAAACCAAAAAAAATCGTTTTTACAATGAATGCAGCTTTAAGTTAAAAAAACAAAAGTTTTAAAAGATTCTGAAAACCATTCGTAATAGATGCTCAGGTGGACGGGTAGAAAACCACACGATTAGCTCATCGTATGATCGATCCTCCTTTCTTCTAATGGTAGTTATGCGGTTACGAACAGTCTTGTCAAGTTTAACAAGCCGGGATGTTGAGAGTGGATTGTCCCCGTGTCTACGAGCATTGTGTGCCCTCCATATATAATAGATTGTAGCTTGGAAAGTGTATAAAAGGTGACCCAGTCTAGAGCTGTGTAGCAGAGTGATAAGATCCTCCCAAGTCGTTGTGTATTCAGGTCCAAGAAGGCGAGCAACCAGAACTTTCCATACCTCAGAGGAGAAGATACACGAGAAGAACAAATGTTGTCGCGTTTCCTCGACTCCGTTTTGACACAAAACACAGGCATGTTGTTGGCCTGCATTCCACTGCTTCATCCGATCACCCGTAGACAACTGGTTCTGAATAGCGATCCAGGTCAGAAAAGCGTATTTTGGCGTCGAGTGATGAAACCAAACGCCTTTGTACCAGTCATTCTTCGGGTATCTTCGTCTGATGTAATTATCTCCTGCATGTTTCCATAATGAGATATCCATTCCGTCTCTTACACCAGCCTGAGTTCGAGTTGCTATTTCTCGTTCGATGTTGTTGAGAATTGTAGCTCTGTGGTGTCTCCTGCGTGAACTAAGAACCTCAGCTAGAGTGGCTTGAAGTCCAATTATTCCCATGTCTATTGTCCCTCTCACTCCCGTATGGTCCAAAATCCTTCCTAAAGGGGACCAATTATCATACCAGAAAGAAATACTATAACCATCTTTGATCTCCACCTTATGAAATCCCCTCGCTTCCTCTCTGAATTTAAGAATTTTTTTCCACATCCATGAACCCCCACTCGATGTTTCCTATAAATACCATAAGGAATGGTTGTTGATGATAGTGCTGTGAACCCATTTAACCCACAAAGACTCACAGGATGAAAAAATCTTCCATATTAGTTTCAGACATGAAATCTTATTCACCTCTTTTAAAACTTTCAGACCCAAACCTCCCTCACATTGTGGCCTACATACCACCTCCCATGCTACTTTAGCCTTCTTCGGGTTGAGACTCGGACCAGACCATAGAAATGCTGAGCATATTTTTTCTATCTCCTTAAAACAGGCACTCGGAAGTCTGTACGCCGTCATCCAAAAATTGCTCAGACTTGCAATCACTGAGCTAAGCAATTGTAGTCTCCCCGCAAAAGATAGGAACCAAAATTTCCATGAGCTTATTCTGGCTTTGATTCTGTCAATCAGCGGTGTATAGTCTGCCCTTGTGATACCCTTACTTAGTAGCAGAAGCCCAAGATACCGAACGGGTAGCTGCCATGTCGCAAATGGGAATCTCTCTGGGATTTCCTCTCTATTTCGATCTGAACCCCTGCCAAATAAAGAGTGGATTTCTCCATACTTATCTTCAACCCAGATAAGACTGCAAACTCGTCAAAGATCCTCATGACTCCTTCTACTGATCGTTTGGTCCCATCAATGAACACCATTAGATCATCAGCAAAATAGAGGTGTGTAAGCTGTATAGTTTTGCATTTAGGATGATACCCAATCCTGCCATTAGCTGCTGTGATATCAATCAAACGGGATAAAACACTCATGCATGTGATAAAAAAATAAGGAGATAAAGCACAGCCCTGTCTTATCCCCCGCTCACTTCGAAAAAACCCTGCAAGATCTCCATTGACTTGTACTGAAAAAGAAGCCGTGGAGACACACAATCTAATCCAGTGAATAAATCTCTTCGGGAAGTGAAGTGCCTCAAGCGTGTTCAGCAGGAAATTCCATTGGACAGAATTAGTAACCCTTTGATATATCGATCTTCATTGAGCACCTTGGAGATATAGTCTTTATGGTAATCCTTTACTAGCTCTGTAGCTAGTAAAACATTCTCCATAAGAAGTCTCTCCTTAATGAATGAAAGTAGATTGATTCTGACTTATAAACCTTGGCAGAGACAAAAATTCTTTAGACAAAAGCTTTATCTCCGATAGGAGGAACACATGCCCAAAAAAAGAGACATTTCTCTTAAGAACATAAAAAAAATATCACTAACGTTAGACGAATCATATCCAATAAACAACATAATGGTTGAAACAAGTATGGGTAGATCCGCTGAGACTGGAAGGCAAAGCCTCTAAATCTTCAAGCCCTTAGTTGGATTATCATGCCGCTGATCCAACCAACCAGCTGGTATCCCTGTAACAACTGAAGTGCTTACGTTTGAAATTTTTAAACCCTACAAAATGCAAGTGAATAGCGGTGCATTGTAGTACTAATGGGTTGATCAATGGGAGACTAATAACTAGCACTATAGATGTTAGACAATAAACAATCTAAGAAAAAAGATGAATTTTTAGTGTCTGATGACGGAGGACAAAAAATAGTAAGTAAAAGACCATAACTGAATGCAAGTAAGGCAATGAAACAAATGTTGGGCATTACAAAATTTGCAGGGTTCATGGATCGTTCATCTAAGGAATCTAAGAATAAATAATCAACTAGGAAAAGTTCTTAAACATGAATTTCTAATGAATAATTGATGTACTATCGCAGAACCAATTATCTATATCTAACAACTTAATAACTCAACTCTCGTAGGTGGTTAAGAAATTTAAACATGCAATAAGATCAGGTTCGATAAGTTCACAAAGTCCTATAACTCAACTTTTGCAGGTTATAATTTGATGCTCATCTAATGCTAGTTCAATTAAGTTGATTGATTCATCACTTTCATGGCTCTATCCTCTCTAGATCAGTAGCTAGGTCGTGAATCTAACCACATGCAGTAAGCATAAACATAGATGAAGAATTTCCTAATAGAAAATATCCTAGATCCAGCCACCTAAACTATCAATAAATCATGAGATTCCCTTTGAAAGAATCCTTAAAACCAACTAATAAACTATTTGTGCATGATGAAAGAAAGCATACAAAAGGATGTCAAGACGTGCTTAATCATAAATAAAGCTAATGAATGAAAAGGGTTAAGAGATCTTCACATGGAAGTACAAGAAAAAAAGATCTTCTCCCTAAACATCAAAAGCTAAACAAGATCCTTTATTTGACATTGAAATTCTATCTTTTGTTGAGATACAAGCTTTGTTTCCTTTGTAATTTACGACATGGTAAATTTTTGAATCCAAGTGTTTCTTTGACCAAATAGGCTCTATGAGAAATTTAGCTCTGTCTATTAAGCCTTTTTCTAGAAGAAGTCTACTTCTTCCTCAGATTAAGTGTGCGTCTTATAAAATGATATTTTCTGTCCAAAATCAGAGGAAAGCCTCGAGATCAAAAAATTATAAGAATTTATGGAGGTGTTTAGGCTTAAGCTAATATGAATCTCCCTGAATCGGCAGTCTAGAGACTGGATAAGACTGAATAAGCCTTGTAAGTAACAAATTACTTCAGAGATTATAGAAGTGAAGGGTCACACAAAATATGCAGAATTCCTTTGATATACCAATCGATTCTCTGAGGATATGACATACCAAAGAGAATCGACACACTTGATGAATATTACACGCCAACAAGCAAAAGAGAAGAAAATCATTCTCTAAACCAAAGAAGAAAACAAGTTTTTGATTAAACCTAAGGTTGAGTTCGAAAATAAGCATACAATGGTTTTTAAAAGCAAACAACAAAAAGTAAAAGCACAACAAACAACTAACAACTACCAACTACTTTTATTAAATGGTCTAAAACTTGAAATTTTGAGTTTTCTTTCTTTTTGGTCGAAATTTCTAGTTGCTTGACCTTGGGCTTTGTTTATTTGTGGGCTTAGAAAAGATATGATCCAACTTTGCCTCATTAAAAACCTATCACTAGAAACCTACTGGGACAAAACCAAAGATATCAAAAAGAATATAAAATTGGATCACAAGCTCACTTACTCTTCTTGGACTTGGATCATAACTAAAGTGTCTTCTTTTCCCTTCTGGTACAAGTAGGTTGGTCGAGAATATACTTGGTGAAGTAGACCACCAACTGCTTCCTTGAGCTTCTTGAACTCTAGCTCGGGTCATGAGACCTTCTGGCAGAAGTAATGCTTCATCTGTTTAGTTCAATCCATGATCAAATCATAAACTAATATGGAATATTTTCTCACGAGTTGATGCCATTAGGTTTGCTTTGCTTGACACTCATATTTTCTATGAGGAGTTATAATACACTGATAAGTCGACTAGATTGTAACATCCCAAGAATCAAAAATTATGGCTTAATATTTTTGATTTAAAACCTAAGATCTTAATCCTAACTTCCCGGTGAAGAAAACTCTAACTTGCAAATGAAGCACTGTTTTAGAGTATCAATTATTGAGTCAAAAAATACATTATTTGTTTGGTAAGCCTTATCCCTTACCTTATAAATAGAGAGAGAGGTCATGACGCAGAAGAAAATTTCAAAATTAGAGCGGTGAAGCCCTGTTGAAATCACGTTTGAGCAGCCACCATCAACGCACCTCAAAGTAGAAGTCACCACAGCCATCTAGAAGACAAGTCCAATCTGTTTTGGGGTAGGAGAGAATCAGATAGGAAAATTATATTGGATAAGGCTGAAACTTTTTAAGTGAATTCCTGACTCTCAGATCTAGCTACTGCCACAAGCAGACCATCATTTGGAGTTGTCGTTAAAAGTTATGGGTATATTTCCGAAGCAGATTTGCGCAAATTGGATCTGCGAGCATTTGTCTTCGAGCAGCCGTCTTGCAAGTAGATCATCCGGCAAACCAGTAGAAACTAGGAAGCGATCTACATACACATTTAATTCTCTCAGTGTCTTCTTTCCATAGCATCCTTCTGTTTTTGATTTAAAGGTTTGCATAGAAATTTATGGATGTTTTCTTGTTGGATATCAAATTTGTCTGAATTATTCTGCAACATTAAAACCTATTTTAAACGCAGACTATAGAACACCTACTCTAACTAGTTCTCCCAACACATCGCAACCTCAATCCAAAGAAAAAAGTGAGCTGGAACTTGTGGACATATAGTTTTTCTTACACATGATTGTGTATATGTGTGTAGAATTCGAGATTGATTGCTAATTAAAATGAACATAAATTATTGATTGAGAACGGATGTATGTATTATTGATTGGTGTTAGTTTACGCGCATTAGCGGCATTTTTGATCCTAGCCCATGGACATTGCGGATCATGGATGGATTGCTTGCTGGTCTTCACGAAAGATGTTTCGCGAAATAGGACCATGGTTGGCCTATACACAGAGGAAGTGTGGATAGTACATGGGCTGACGGGCCTAGGAGATTTTGATTGACCATTCACCAGATTTAAACAAACATTGAGACGTTCTCGTGAGTGGAAACTTGTATGCTAGGGTTTCTATGTACTTCTGAAAGCCTAATGATTGTTGTTTTTCTAATCCAAGGTTAAGTAAACATATATGTGGTTATGTTTAATTCTTCGCATAGATCAAGTCCGCAGGTAGGATCTTCCTCACTGAGTTACTTGTTATTCACCCCTCTTTTACTCACCCCTCTTCCTCATTGAGTAAATTGTTTCTCACCTCTCTTTTTCCTTTTCAGGTGATTTCATCGAGTAGACTTGATTTAAACTTGTATTGGTGCTATTCTGAAAACAAATGGGTATTTTATTTTAAAGTTTTAAAGATACTTATGTTGGTTTATTTTTCTAAGTTTAATATCTTTTTTATTATTGTTGTACTTTAAGTTCTTGGTTTGGTTTTTTTAAGAAGTTTTAGACTATGGCTAAGTATTTACTGAGCCGGTTTGGTTTTAAACATGGTTTTTTTTTTCAGGTTTTAAAAGTTCTTATATTTTAATACTTCAAAAATTATTTTCTGGGTAATTATATAAAGAATGTAGGACACCGGCGACCAAAGCTTGAGTCAGTGTTTTGTGGGTGATTCCTCAAGGTTGAAGATCTAATTCAGGTGTTTCTTTTAAAATGGCAAGACCTCAGCACAATGGAAACAAGATTCAGAACAGGAACACAGCTGACCATGTGGATGAAGTACCAATCGTCGTGCAAGAGAATGTTGTTGTAACAAGTCAAGCGATAATGTGCCTTAGGCAGAGGATATAGGGGGTCACATGTGAAGTTGTGGGAGAGGCCGTCTTGCAGAGAATTCTGCAGCTTCTTAGACCATTGTTAGAGCGTATCTCAATAGCCAGAATTGCTCTAGGAGTGGCTCCTGGTGTGGCTACTGGACAGCCACCAATGCAATGAAATGGCATGCCAGATTTGCCTCCTCCATCTCCAATGCAGGCACCACCACCATTGCAAGAATACCAATCTCAGCTGCCTACCTATCATGAGATGCTGAAGCTTATGAGAAATTTTGGTATGGAGACATACAATAGTGGAACAGACTCAATGAAAGCAGACCGCTGGAGAAAGTGGTTGAAGTACAATTTCAGATCAATAAGGTGCCCCATCGGGTACAAAATTGAGTTGACAGTTCAATATCTGAAAGACGAGGCTTACGAATAATGGGAATGAGTGTAACATGGACTTAATATGTGTTTTGGGTGTTGGAAGTCAGGGCATACCAAGAAATTCTGTCAAGAGAAAAGAATCACATGCAATTCATGTGGCAAGCTCAGAGATGATGATAAGAACTATTCGTAAGCCTCATCTCTCAGATGCTGAACTGCCCACTCAACTTTGTACTTGACAAGGCACGTGATCGACCCAAAGTTGTGCTCCAACGACTTTCTTAATGGTTTGTTTTCACTGGGTCAGTTCCATGGATCCATACCAAACTCTCTCATAAGTCTCAGCATCTCATGGTAGGTAAGCATATGGGGGGTATCCTTGTGCTGGAGGTGATGCCTGCATTGGAAGTGGAGGAAGCAAATTTGGCACCCCATTTCCTTGCATTGGTGTCTGTCATGTGGCCACACCTGGAGCTATTTCGGCCATTAGGATATGCTCTAACAATGATCCAAGCAGCTGCTGAATTCCCTGCAACACAACCGCTCTCATAATTGCACCTACGGTCATTGGATCCGCTGCTTAAGGCACACCTATTGCTGCTTAAGGCACACCTATTGCTGCTTGACCTTCTACAGCAACATCTTTTTGCATGATGACTTATACTTCATCCACATGGTCAGCTGTGTTTCTTTCCTGGTTCCTGTTTCCATTGCGCTAAGATCTTTCTATTCTGAATTAGAAACTCTCAGATTAGATATTCAGCCCTACAGAAGCACCCATAGAACACTGACTCAAGCTTTAGGTCGTTGGTGCCAAAACAAATTCACATTCTATATGTAAATCCCCATAAAATAAAATTTGAAGTAATAAAAATGTATGAACTTTTAATATTTGAAAACCAGTGTAACACTTTTTTTTAAGTTCCAAAACACCGCTTGGATCAAAACCAGATTGATTAACTTTACTTTCTGATATAAAATTGAGACACCCTAGTCTCAAGCTCTTGCACTTAACCGTGTTTAAAACCAAAACTGACTCATTAAATACTTAACCATAGTCTAAAGCTATTTACTAAATTGAACCAAGAATTAAAAAGTGATAATGGTAAACAAGAATTCAAAATTAGAAAAAGAAATCAACATAAATATCTTTAAAACTTTAAATAAAATAAAACACCAACTTTAAATCAAACATGGAAGGATGCTATGGAAAGAGGACACCAAGAGCTTTCTAATAGTATGCAGATTGCTTCCAAATTGCTACTGGTTACACTACAAGAAAGAGGCCCATTTCTAACGATTTTTACGTCGATTATAAATCGTCGTAAATTTACGATTCAGTTACGTCGAATTACGACACGGACCTTTTTGTCATAATTTCGACTTAAAATTTTGTTGTCGTAAAATCAACGTAAAATTACGACAATTATACGATGATTAAACAAGGATTCAACTATCATCGTAACTTTGTCGTAAGTTTTACATCCATTATACGACGATTTGGCCTCCACCTTGTATTCAATGTAATCTCAATGTAAGCTTGATGTAACACTGATTTCGACGTAAATTTGATGTAAATATTCAATGAAAATATTTTGGTAACCAAACAAAAATCTATATATACCCCCCCCCCTCTCTTCTCTCATTATTCTACCAAACAAAAAAAATATACAAAGACAATTTTTTGAGTCTTTGAATGTTTGAGTATAATTTTAGTAGTTGAAAATAAGAACAAAGTTAAAAACAAAAAGTTGATTTTTTGTTTTTAAATTGTCTATTTACGATCTACCAAAGTGGATGTATACGCCTAAAAATGCTGAGGGGGCGTTGACTGAAGACTTCAAAAATGGCTGGGAAATATTCATGTACTAAGCCGGCCTTATGCAAACAATAATATAAAGCGGCAAAATGTATTGTCCTTGTCTGAAATGAAAAAATAGGAAACATATTCTTATTGACATTGTGTGAAAGTATTTATTGAATAGAGGGTTTATGCCGTAATACTTTATTTGGTATCAACATGGAGAGGGCTATTGTAACAACCCGGTTATTAAGATAAAGCGGACGGGCGGCCGCGAGAGAAATGCTAAGTCGGAACGAATCAGGGAAAATCTGGATTTGGCTGG